CCAGAGCTTTAAATAATTGTCTTTTTTTTCTTTGTCAAAGTCCCCTCAGGAGGGTTCAGTAACTCTAGAACACCCTTTGACAAGACAAATTATTCTCCTCTACTTTGTTATTACAATACAAAGCTATGATACTCACTTTGACCATATCGCCAAGGGTATCCTTTACTGTGCATGACACAAGGTTTTAGTGTCTTACATTCGAAATTTTATTAAACTACTTTTTGTTTATGTTATACCAATTAATATAGCTTAAAATCTTGGCTAATAATCCACATTTTAATAGTATATAAGTTTTAAGTTCTTAATTCTACAAGGCAATATTTAAAATAATCCTGAATTTCTGCTAGTATGACACGTAACACATTTTCTCTAGGCATCTTATCTTATGTATTTTATCCACTACCCCTCCAAAAAATACAAAATCAAATGAAATTACTCACTATAGAATTGTCATTTCTCAGACAAACCATAATTGTTATAGCCTTTAATTTTGTTTTGTTACAGAGCTCTCAAATAGAAACTCAGACCCCTCTTGCCACACCTACCTGTCACATCCTCTCTTTTAGAATTTGTTAATAGTTGTCTCTTACATTTAATTATATATCACCTATAAATAGTGAAAAGCCAACGGTTTTCATATATGAAATAACTTATTATATAATGTTGTGTTCTAAACAGATAGCCATCAGTTTCACTCAGAGTACGAGCTTCATTCCTGTGTGAAAGCTAACGAATAGTTTGGATGGATTTGTAATGCATAGTTAGAAAGCCAGAAACATTTTGAGATTTAGGGAAAATTGTCTACTTTTTGCATGTTATTAGTTTATTTTTTTTATTGCATTATTTAATTTCATAAAAATTAATTGGTGCATCAATACCATTACTATAAAAAAAAGTAGGGTTAAGTGTCATCCACAATTGACAGCAAGAAGAAAGAAGATGTGATAAGTACTTTATTTCATGTTTTTCTTGTTTATTCTTTATTATTATAAAAGTAACTAAAATGTAAAAAAATGATCTCTTTAGGTTAGTTAAGGTTAGATTAGGTAATATATAATATAACAAAAATATTTCACGAGGCATGCAATCAAGCAGCACATTCCCTAAGTGATTTACAACTTATAATGGTGCAAATAGCAGTTAGACATGGTTCAAAGAGTGATCAAAAAGGCAGTAAAACAATAAAATTTAATTACAATTAGATGTATATTGTTACGAGTTTAAAGCTACTTAGGATAAATGAATGTAGTTTCACACTATACTTGAAGTTATTCTAGAAAGAAAAAAGGGGTAACTTAGATTTATTTTGATTTTATTTTTTGGTGGTTACAAGGTTGGTCAAATTGACCAACCGTGTATAGAGTTAGGGTAGAGAAAGTAACAAATACAAAGTTTTACTGAAAGCA